GCTGCATGACCGTGTGCTGAGCACTGTGGTGGGGTCCCTCCAGAGAGTGTTGGTAATCACTTGTTTACTGCTTATTATCATAATGATGGCTACTGTGTTTTGTACACTGAGCATCGAGAAAATTAATCCCGATGACACCCATTGGACGAGGGGGCATTAATTTGTGTGGAAATACCTAATCTCTTTTCTTTTTTATACTTGTAAGCAGAGTATTGCTGTGCTCCTTGTGGTGTGTCTCACTCTGCAATTGTGTGGTTCTGGTAAATAATATCTTTTTTTTTATTTGCTTTTACATTATCTATGAGCGGGGTAGCATGTAATTTGCTTGTTCCTATAGGGACACTACATATTGTATGTTGTAATTGGGACAGGGAGAAACCAACACAGATAGACTTCTTTTTCCTGATTCTTCTTGTTTTTGTGCACATGCAGTGATTTGAATTTTTTCTATACATCCCCTTTTTTTATTTTTATTTGTAGTTGTGTTTTTTTGTATGTTGTGGGCTCTGGGCTTATTTTCTTTGAAATGTGGATATTTTCAGTAAAATACCTCTTTATTTCTGTTCTTGGTTGATTCCATTTCTGTGAATTGTGTGTATTGTAATAGCGGTGTGGTGGTACTTTTCTCTCTATATATATGTCTCTCTATCTGTCTCTCTCTCTTCACACATACGCACAGACTCCAGTGATCCTCAGTGATATTAATGACAAGAAAGTCCATGTTGTCGTGCTGTGTGTTGTGTCCGTTGGCCATTGTGCTCTGCTGTGTGGGTGTGGCTTATGCTGCTGCCCAGTTGGAAGGGTGGCAAAAGAGGGATATTGACATCGTCACATCTGTAGCAAAGAACGCTTATATTTGGATTGTGAAGGCGGACGAGGCGTTTGCAGAAATTGTGAAAGTTACAGACGAATGCAAGTCTGTTGCTAGAAGTACTAAAACTGCCGCCAGACGAGCGGAGACGTTTGCCAGATCTGTTGAGAGGTTGCTGAAGAGAGTGGAGTCAAATCCACCCAAAGTGACCCAAAAGAGGGCAGAAGGTGATGAAGTCATTAAAGAAGCAAAGGATGCCGCCGTTCTAGCAAGAAATACAGCCAAAAAAACAGAAGAAAAAGCAGATCAGACTTCTTTGATAGGTGTGACTGCTAATTCAGCATCACAGAATCTTGATAGGGTTTATACGTGGAGACTAAGGAAGTATAATGAAATTCACCAGGAAACGGCGGAAAAGGATTTCTTGAGGCAGATGAAAGAAAGTGTGGAGAGCGTGTACCCTAATATAAACGAAAGCGATTTGGACACAGGCGGACAAGATGTCATATTCGCCTCAGATACTGCCAATTATGCGGCATATAACGCTGAAAAGAGTGCAGACTCCGCAGAAGCTGCTGCTAAACGTGTGGAGGAGGCTCTTGAGAAACTTGAGACCGCAGTTCATGCTCTTAAAAAGAAAATGGAAGGCAGAGAGAGTACTGAAAAAGAAAGGAGTCCTGAGCATTCCACAACAATAACGGCTCCACCAGCTGCTGTTGGTGAGAAGAGAGTGAAGCAGCAAGAAAACACGGGGACGGGGCCAGAGACAAAACAAACAACAGAAGTACAGGAAGAAAGGACGGAGGCAGTAAACGGACAGGAATCTGGTAGTGCAAACACCCCAACAAAACAGTTATCTCGCTCTCCTCGTGGCTCTAATGATGGTGAAACGTCTGTCAATACCCTTCTTCAGAATGCTGCATTGACGAATGGTATGGCACTAAATGACGGCAGCAGCACCCCTGCGTTACTGCGTGCTCCATTCCTGTTGCTGCTGCTGCTGCTCTCTGTGCTGGGCTGCATGACCGTGTGCTGAGCACCGTGGTGGGGTCCATCCAGAGACTGTTGATAATCACTTATTTACTG